GATTTCCAATGATGTTCCAAAGAGGTCAAATATAAGATGATGCCAGACTTTCGCGTCTGTTCAATGCTGACGTTAATTCTATAATGAATGATAACATGGTGTAGGCTCTTCATCCTGAAGATGGAACCAGCAAGGAAGTTCCGAAATGTGGCAATACTGCTCTCTAATATGCAGTGATATCGCTCGAAACCACTATGAACATCAGTGTACGTGGTGTTTCTCCGTAAATTGATATTTTCATGCACATTTCCTGTCTTGACCTGGATGAGCGAACGACTATTGCAGCGATTTTCGAGAACGTGTAACAGCAATTTTCACGGATACAAGCCAGAATCTCCCAGTTTTACCATTTGTCAAAGTGTGGATGTTTTGTGTTCCTTGCACAAACACATAATGTGAATGCGTATTCTTAATTGGAATATCTTCTTGAGCTGCTTTTTTCTTTCGTGTAAGTAAAACTAAGTGATATCCACGGCAATTATACATTTTCGCAATAAATTAAGACATTTCGTTTCTTATTTAATCTAAGGAAGAAAGTGAAACATATACCAAACGACAGAACAATCGTCACTTTCTTCTTACAAGTACTGTATGTGTTAATATTGTAACATTACATGTTCTAAGTATGTTTTTGCCCAAATCCTTTTAGCTCGTGTAAATTGAATTGTCAGCCCTTAAATATTATTTGACATAGAAGATGCAACCTATCAGAAGTCCCATAACAAGAAGTCTATTAGACTGAGAAGTCAGGTGACCTAGGCGGCCAGGGGGTTATGCCGCTATGGTCAATTATTTTGCTGGACTACGTTCATAAAATATTGCTAGACCAGTGCACCATCGAACAGTAAAGAAGCAAACACTTGTTAATTTGACAAAGTTTAGAGATGTCTCCATGTTAATGCAGATTTTACTTTCGTGGTTTTAGCAAAGACGATTCAAATATATAAATCTTACTTAAATTAACCCTTAAGCCTTCATAGCATGATGATTAATTAATTGGGCACAGGGACAACTTTACCTTTTAGTTAATTTTGTTAACTGTCTTATGTTTATGAATGAACGTAGTTTTATCCTAGTAATCAGAACTTAATTTTGGAAATCACGCAATTTACCATGGGAAATTGGTTTTTATATCGCCGTCTTCGGGATCCTTCTAGCGATATGCATGTATCTGTGAGTCTGTCTGTACGTTATTGCAGACAGCAATAGACAGGCCTCCGTGAAATTCGGCATGAACATGGCATTGATATTTCGAGCCCTTTCTGTAGTCACAAATCCAGCGCGGCGGCTGTGTGAACTTTTGGGAGGGGACATTATTAGCACCATTCTTGCTTACATACTGACATTTTTTTTTCCTTGGCACTACAGCCCCAGTGGGCCTAGGCCTACCTCCATGAACTTCTCCGTTCACTTCGGTTTTTCTAGATCTTACACAGTCGGTAGGACTCCTTGGGCGGGTGATCAGCTCGTCGCAAGGCCTCTACCTGTACACAAACACAGAAAAACGCACACAAACATCCATGCCCTGAGTGGTATTCGAACCCACGATCCCGGTTTCCAAGCGAGCGAAGACAGTGCATGCCTTAGACCGCTCAGCTACCGTGACCGGCACATACCGACATACTGTGTGGTAATTCGTAGGAGAATGGAAAATAATAGAACTGCAAGGAAAAGTATTTTTTGTGATACATGATAAATAAAAATAGATGATAGAGGGTGTCGCGTGGTCAGCTCAACGAATTCCCACGGCCGTTAATTTCGGGTTTCTAGACCGGACCCGCTACTTTTCTATTCAAGTAGCTCTTCAGTTATCCTCACAAGGTTGAGTGGACCCCGTTCCAAACCCACTACTTCTCAGAAAAACTGGTAGCGCCGGGAATCGAACCCGGACCTCTAGATCTGTAGTCAGCAACTCTGACCACTAGACCACAGAGGCGAATCAGCGTAAGGTAGCCCTTGAAATTTGCACGGTGGCATACTGTGAACACACGCCCTGGTAGTTTTGGCAGTATTAACAACTACATTGTGTGCTTATTCGCGAATGCACAGAGCTGTGCTTTTAATGTGTGTTTTTGTACTTGTAAGTCCAGAGCTATAGCCTCCAGCTTCGGATTTCCTTATTTTGCATCTGGAGCATTTAATTGAGTTGCATCGGGTGATAATTGGTGATAATTCCTGTTGAAGCCGTAGGAGAGACTAGCAGCCATGTTGGCAGTGCGTTTTGAGCGGCATTATGCTCATGCAATTTGCATGCAAACGTGTCTGTGAGGTATCAGTTGTGATGAAGTGTACGAGTTTTGTGTAGGGTACGTTTCATTTATTTAGCAACGGACTGTTTAACGACGCAGCCCGTACTATATAGCGTTGAATGGTATGATGAGTAACGAATGAGGAATTAGAAAGGATCTGGAATAAGTTGTCTTGGTTTATTTAGAGACACTATCCGGGTATTCGCCTGTACGTGTTGAAGAAAATATGGCAAAACATCAGTCAAGACAGTCGATCCCTGACCGAGATTCAAACCGGATACCTCTCGAATACGTATCAGAAGCGTTACTGATTGGACCAAGTTGCTTTGTGGAAGAGCAGCTTATAGCGTTTCATTTTTGCATGCGAATGTAGAACTGAGGACTCAGCGTATTTTGAAATGTTTACAGAAAGAAGGAAGTTTCGTGCCTCTGTCTTCTGTGTTAAGTTTATGTGACGAAGTAAATTGTATATGCGATTGGCGTTTCCTACAGCTGTTAATATTTTGATCTACTAGGATGTTATCCCGTGTGATATGGTGGATATGTGTAAAATTGTGGTTTCAATAAATGTGTACATGTAAATTTGTCTCTACACCACGGCTATATGCCATAAAGACATGTGAGAGTGTGAATGTTAAACTCCAGCAATTTTCAACTTCGATCTTAGACTGTAAGGTGAGTGGCCAGTTTATATTGCGACTGCCCTACCTCCAGAGTGAGTCCCCCGTACCTGTCGAATAACAGAGCGACGGAATGAAAAGCCATTATGGACATCATATGGAAGAGAACCCCTATTCATGCCTGGAATTGAACCCAGACAGTCCAGTTTGTTACTTTTCACTATACCGGGATAACTCAGTTTATTCATTAATTAGATAAAATCCTTTTTATATTTTGTTGTATCCAGACTAATGTTCTCCTCTGAATTCGGTGAGCTGATTCGAAAAGTAGTTTTAAGTTTTGTTTGAGAGTATAAGTGTAAGCTCTGGATTTTTACTGAGGAGACACCCAGTTTGAATCTCCGACGTCATACCGACTGTCCGTGACTGAGGTCCGCTATGTAGGGTCTAATGAGCATGTTGATGGGCCGTGTAACAGAAAGACAACGGATTTATTGACACAGTAACTGTACAATCCCGAAGAAGACCCTGCACCATAGAGTTAGTGGAACTCACGTTCCCTGCGCTTCTTCATGGCGACATCATGAAGGGGGGGGGGGAATTTTACCTTGTATAATTTTATTTCATGCAGATTCTTATATTGCCTCTGTAACTAAAATTGTTTCATCATGAGGGACAGGGAGGGTAGGCTCACCGGTAAAACATCCATCTTGGATTTGGCTCAATTTCTGAGCCGGGATCGCTTTTCTCGATATATTTTTAAGTTTTCTCAAACCACCCGAATGCCGCTTCGGTGCTTTAACATACCCCACCATCGTTTTCCCTCACAGTGTCTCACAGAACACAGTTCTTGAGAAGGTGATGGTTGAGAAGCTGGTCTAGAAATGATTTATTGAACCCGAAGGTTAATTACTATGCTCACAAGAACCCGTTATTGCACTTTATCCAGAAGCCGTTGAACAAAGTCCACATCTCGACACTCTGTTTAAGATCCATGCTCCCACTTACGCCTATAGCTCCTAAATTGCCTTCTCCCTTTTGTTTTTCAGATTACAATTCTGCCTTCATCTCTCACCTTCCCATGTGTGCGAAGTGTTCTGCCCTATCTCTCCCGATCGATCATTCAAAATCAGTCTATCGTACCTGTCAGTTTTATTTGTGTCCTTAATGCTAATATGTTATAAAGGCACTGTACCACACAGCTAAATATAGGGCATTAAATTCACTTATAAGTTACTTGCGAAGCGTGTCGGATAAAATTTTTACTATTAGGCCTACCACCTAACTTGCCAGGCACTTCTTTCGCTGTCTGTTGGAACTTGCTCAGTTCTTGAGAGTATATGTTTTAGACCAGCAAATTTCACCTCCCTGATTTCTCCGTTATTATTTACAAAACTTTGTTAAAGTTTTGGAGCTTCATTTATACGCTTCGCCAAGTATAATTAGAATGATCAAGTCAAGGAAGATGAGCTGGGAATGGCATGTAGCACGAATGGATGGAATTGGTGGGAAAACCAGAAGGAAAGAGACCACTAGGAAGATCAAGACATAGGTGGGTGGACAATATTAAAATGGCTGTTAGAGGAATAGGATGGGATGGTATGGACTGGATTGAACTGGCTCAGGATAGGGACCAGTGGAGGGCTCTTGTGAACACGGTATTGAACCTTCGTGTTCCATAAAATGCTTTGAAGTTCCTGAGTAGCTCCACGATTGGCAGCATCTCAAGAAGGAATCAGCTCCATGAGTGAGTTAAAAGACTTTATTAAAAATTTACTATTTTGCATCTTATCTGTAATAAACGTGGCGACCTCGTAAGTTTTTACAGCTTCGTAAAGTCACAGATTAAGTCAACGTGAGTGGAGTGGAATGAAAATGTATGTTGGTTCTTGAACTGCAGCTTACAGAATACTGGCCCATCTCGCTTCTTCCTTGTTTGATAAGCGAAAATAAAAATAAATTGTTTTGGGGTATTGTCATCAAATACGTTAGGAGAGTTAAGTAGCACTTACAGTATGTACTGTCGTTCGTACAGGGAGCGACAGATACTCGAATGTTACACAAGGAAAAAGAAACAGTACAGCGCTATGTAACTTATTGTTCTAAAATATGTTATGTGTTTTCTTTTTAGGTCATAAATTTGAAAATCCAGAGGCGGTGAACCTGAGGCTGGAGCCCGGAATCTGGTGAGTAGAATGTAGTGCAACGTCACAATTTGGGGTCACTTGAACCGAAAATTAGTATGCACAGGCTTCTGACGCGGTAATACCAGTAAACCGGTTTTACGATTTGATATCATTTGATTTATTTATAAACGAGGCCAGGTCACACTGTTATGTTACGCAACCCACATTGTAAACAAGAACTGTTCGTACAAGTTGGAGAGCCTTCCTTCAGTGCTGCCATAATTACTTTTTAGTCAGGTTTTATTTATTGCTAGTGGGGTGGGACTAAGTTCCTTGTACTGCGGCCACTTCTGGCCTATGGTACCAGCCCCAGGTGACAGGTGAGGGTGATTATGGAGCAATTAGTGGAATGAAGATTGGCAGGGAAGTACTCGGAGAAAACCTGCCCCAGCGCCACTTTGTCCACTACAAATTCCACTTTACCAGACCAGGGATCGAACCCGGGCCGCCACGGTGGGAAGCCAGTGACTAACCCCTTGAGCTATGGCGCGGCCTTTTTAGTCACGTTGGTCATTCTTATTCCGTAATATGTGATGAACTACCTGTGTGTATGTGTGTGGGTCCAAGTTGGGTCATGTTGAGTACAAAGATTAATATAGTGATTTGTTTCTTACAACTCCAGGGATGTTTCTCCAGTTCTCATTATTCTTCTTCCTCCTTTTCTCCTTCTCATTCTCCTTGCTCTTTGTTCTTGTCCATCTCATTTTCTTTTTATCTTCCATTCATTCATTGTACTTCTTACTCCTTGTTATGTTTGCTTTTCTTATCTTTTTTTTCAATCTTCCTCGTTATATTTATTACTTTTCCCCTTGAGCTTGCTCTTCTCACTTTTCTTCCGTCTTCTACCTGCTGCCTATTCTTCTTCCTCCTTTATACTCCCCTCCTCCTGCTTTCACTGATTAGTTCATTTCGCCTGATCCTAATTAGTCCCGCCAAGAATTCATTATGAGATAATTTTAAACCAACATAAATCACTTTGTGTGGGAGAGCCGCCCAACACAGGGCATCTACCGTCACAAGAGAACTCAGAATTATAGTCGAAATCTGTAGCGCCTATTATAGTTTTGAATTCAGAAATTTTCAAAATTCTTCCCCTGTTGTAGATCTTGACGAAACCTATGTTTCATTTTGTAAATTCTATGTCATTCCTTTTTTCTTGGTCTTCTCCACGTTCAGTTTCACGGATTACGCCCTCTGGCCTGCTCCAGCTCAGAGGTAACTGCTGAAACGACGAATCTTTTTATACACTTGGTACGACTCCTTGGATGTGGGGTCCGCTCGTCGCAAGACCACCTACACACGACAGTAGAGCACCCAGACGCATATCCACGCCCCTGTTCGGATTCGAATAGGAGCCTTTCTGATTTAGAAAACAAATGAAGTTAGATTTCAGATTCTTATAAAGTAGAAGTTATTAAACCCATACGAACCAAAATTAAGGCCATTATTTGTATTGTAGACAAAGGATACCAAATTTGATATAAATCTGTTGTTAGTTTCTGAGATGAAACACATGTCCCTAGCGTTCATTTTGTGCAAAGCGCACTTAAAGGCGGGGGGGGGGTCATGCAGGTTTCGAGCGGTAATGAACTCGTACGCGATTTTGGCTTTCATGCCGCTTATAATATGCGTTAAGGGAACCGTTTTGACAAATGTGTCCGTAATCGATGTAGTGAACAAAAACTTGCTAGCGAAATAGAATATTGGCAGGGTACTGTTTTCTTGGCCGGTCACGGTAGCTGAGCGGCCTAAAGCATGCACTGTCTTCGCTAGCTCGGAAGCCGGGATCGTGGGTTCGAATCACATTCAGAGCATGGATGTTTGATGTTTGTGTGTGTATGTGCGTTTTTCTGTGTTTGTGTACAGGTAGAGGCCTTGGGGCGAGCTGATCACCCGCCCAAGGAGTCCTACCGAATGTCTAAGATCTAGTAAACCGAAGTGAAACGGAGAGTTTCATGGAGGTAGGGAAAGGCCAAAATTGGGACTGTAGCGCAAAAACTGTTTTCTTGGACAAAGCGCCATGTAGTTGGCAGAATTTAACCGACGTCTTGGAGAAACATACTGCTTCCATCTTCGGGCTTGTCGAGTAAGCCCCCCCCCCTCAAAAACAGACGGAAAGCAAAGTTTTCAGGGCCGGAGAATAAACCAAGCAAGAGGTAAGTGGGGCACTCTTGGTCAAAGATTAAGCCAAGCAAGAAATCAACAAGGAGCACGCGGCAAGGGAGCCTACGATCCAGCAAAGTGTTTGTCTTTGCAGACATATTCTCACATGTCATTTTGAAGTATCAGGCACTGTATGACATTTCGCAATGTGCTAGTCTTTCGGTGAGGGTGCATTAATCCGAAGTTCTACGCTCCTGCTGGGCTAATACCCCTTGTCGGCTGTCCGTCACTGCTTATTCAGCGTTGTTCGCATCTTTGATTTTCTTCTAATGTAATTACAATGGTGTAATAAATATGATTAGATGGTAGGCGAGAGATGACAAATACACAAAAAATTTTAGTCGGATAACCTTAAAAAAAGCACTTGATACCTTGACGTAGGTATGATAATAATATTAAAATGTAAAAGGTAAAATCGTCCCTGTGCTTAACTAATTAAACACCAAACCATGAAGACGTACGTGGAATGAGTTGTGTAGATCCACATATTCTTGAAATCGGAGCTAGTTTAGGTAAATATGGTATGAGAGCATGATAAGTATCAGCTGGCTCGGGATAGTTTCCGTTAGTAGATTCCTGTTAACATTGTAACGAACATTTGAGTTCTTCAAAAATGGAAAATATTTTTTATCTGTAGCTTCTCAAAAAAATCCAAATCCATGGAGATACGAGATGTTAGCTGGCATAGTTCGCTTTTGCTGGTAAATGTACCTTCATCTTAAGTATTAATTCTATTTGAACATGATAACAGTTACTGTGAAAATGTATTTATCTTATTATTCTGGAATCAGAGATACAGCCATTAAAGTTCTGTTACTGGGTTTCTGAAGCGGATCGCGAGGTGAAAGCTGTGACTTATATCGCAAAGGAATTATTTGCTTTCTTGGATTTCGGTCCCTCCTTTCTTTCTTCTTTTTGCATAAGGAGAACACAACTAAGAAGTCTTGCCTCTCCTCATGTTCAGTTTTCCAGAACTACCTGTAGGAATAACAAACAGTACGTAATTGAAATTTGTCAAATATCTGTACATTATTAGTAGTGGTTGAACTTATTTCGTAGCTATAAAAAGACGTAAAGTTGTCACTGTAAGTAACAAAAAGTAAAGCTATCCCTGTAACAGGCCGTGAAGGCCCATAGGGTTGTGAGACGTTGAGGGTACCACATTATCTAGTTGAATATCCGAACATACCAGAGACAGGGCTAGAGAGCCAGTGATGAGCTGTAGTTGAACACTCAAAACACTCTAGACACAGAACACGTCATCGGCTTCAACAGAGCAGAGTTCATAGCTGACGTCCGGACCTACCATCTCTACAAGGAAATAACAAATTCCACATAATTTCAGCCGTGAAGATGGAAAACACCTAAGTAGATTTTGATTTCGCATCTTTATCCCCAAACCTACCACTCAACCTCCTTCCTCCAGCATCCACTGAACTTAACCAGTGCAAACATACGTAGTGGTGCTATGAACTTTTACATCAACTTTCCTCTCCACGTGGGTCAACACCAGAGGTTTCCTTCAGCTGTTCTTCTATTTAGACCGCCTCTGTGGTCTAGTGGTCAGAGTTCCTGGCTACACATCCAGAGGTCCGGGTTCGATTCCCTGCGCTACCAGATTTTCTGAGAAGTGGTGGGTCTGGAACGGGGTCCACTCTGCCTCATGAGGATAATTGAGGAGCTATTTCAAGGGAGTAGCGGCTCCGGTCTAGAAAACCGAAATCAACGGCCGTGGGGATTCGTTGCGCTGACCACGCGACATTCTCTGTCCGCTAAAGTTGGCACTGACTTCGCCGATAAGTGGCGGTCGCTCGGTCGGTAGAGTTCGTTTGCGGACTAAAACCACGGAGTTTCTTTTTTTTTTGTTTGAGTTGAAAATATGGTTATGCACAATAAACTGAAGAGGAGTTGGCAGAATTATGTCGTGGCCTATTCATTCCGGAGACAGATCGGGGACTGAGGGACGCCACGATGATCCTCAGAGCAGTCGAGATACCGGGTTCATTCAGAATACAAGCCTGCTAATCTGGTAGGTAGAGCTGAAGTGTCTAAAGTTGCACTTAGAGTTTTGAAGAAATCCTGATCACGTTTGCAGTACGCAGCACTTCTTGCCCTCAGTGTGTTATCAGCAAGATTTCTCAAAGTCAAATCCTTCTGTAGCCATATCGTTTCTGGCCTTTGACTCCGCTGGGGAACCTTGGAGATAGAATATTCCATTAAAATGGCGGCGGTTCGAGTCATACGTTGTCATCCAGAATGTAAGATCTACTAAAACCAGCATCATAGCACATGGTTTTTGTTGAAATATTCATGGACACGGAGCCGAACATGAAATTTCCTGCATTCTTTGCAACACAAATGTTTATTACCATCTTTATAAAATTCTGCCCTTGAGTTCGATCCCCAGCTGGTTGAATCCAGCCAACCTTCACACTCTGTTTTAATATTATCGTATCATCTACTCCTAGTCTTCAAGTGGCCGGTTCTCTTGACGTTCTTCAGCTCAGATCTACATATGTTTTTCTCATTTCTTCGATACACTGAATATAAGGAGGACTTCTTAGTATGGGGAAATCAGTTACGCTTTCTATGCGAATCGTTAAAAGGATAAAAATATATTCCGTATTTTGTTCGTGTATTTCGATTGTGCTGGTCACGGTAGCCTCGCGGTCTAAGGCATGAATTGTCTTAGCTCGCTCGGAAACAGGGATCATGGATTCGAATTCCCACTCAGGGCATGGATGTTTGATGTGTGTATGCGTTTTTCTGTGTTTATGTTGTCCTGTGTTTAGGTAGCGACCTTGCGACGAGCTGATCACTAGTCCAAGGAGTCCTAC